CAGATCCCACCTGATCTCCATGCTGCATTCTTCTAGAGGGCAGTGCTGCCCCTCTAAAAAATGCCACCCAATTTCAGCTAGATCCCAATGCCAACATGTACAGGACCAAGTTTAGTTTTAGGTATTTTTGCTGAAGTTTAAAAAAGTATGCCAAATAAAGCTATATAAGGTCAATCAAGGTGAAAAACAGCTGGTCTAATGGAAGTAAATGATCATGAATTATTAGAAGCAATAATACAGTATTTTATAGATAATATATAGTTATAACTGTAGGCAGGTGCCTACTTTTGTGGTGTACTTTACATCCTGTTTTACTGTACAGTAGTGTAGTGTGCTAGTGAGTTTCATGTATAATAGGCTGCCCATGGGGTTACATAAGGGTTAAGGCTCCTAACTCCCGAGTGTTCCTGGCTTCATGGTGGGCTATAAATACAAGGGGAGGCAGCTTGTCTGGGCTTGCTTTTCTGCTTTTTTGGGCCTTCCGCATGGGAACTGTGAGAAAAGGATGCTGTAGGATGTAATCCTGCAAGGAGAATGTGACACCCCCAATGGGGTACCCAGGCAGGGTGCCAGAATCGGAACATGGACCTTATAAAAAGGGACTCTTCTTTCTCAGACGTATGGTTAGGATGAGTTGGAACAGTGTTTGTAACTGTGAGACTGTGCCACATTAATTCTGTATTTGCAAGAAGCATATGTAAATGTTCTTAAAGTTGCTAGATGCCTGGTCTGAAGTTCCTACAAAGAGGTGCATACAAGGTGTATAAACAGGGCTTACATCAAGGGATGAACCCTACCAAGGATTAATGAGTGGTGAATGCTGCAGAGAGAGACAGACTACCTTGTCATTGCCATATGGAACCAGAGGAGTGTTTCGTACTAAAGCAGTACGTGGTGACTTGGCAGGGATGACGGAGTTCTCTGGTAGCGAGGGGGGTTTCTAAGCACAATCCATCTCAGTAGTGACCAGTACCCCATTCCTATGGAACCATGGCACAGAGCCTCTGATGATCCTTAGAAGTATAGAACCTCAGCTAGTCTATGTGTAATGCTAATGCAGAGTTCTAAGTATGTCACTGGGAGTGAGGTGACATCAAAGTAAGGCTGGAGAGTGGGATACAGTGTCCCCCCAGAAAGTGCTGCTCCATGGAAGGAAGTCTGAGTACAGTAGTCAAGTGTAACACCACTGTGAAGTGGATAAGACACAGAGTAAAATCTGCCACAACATGTGCTCAATTCTAAGTTGATGTGCCACCTTAATACAGGTTTTTCCTCTCCGCCTGCTTAGTTGGGCATTAGCGAAGTTTCTGGAGTTCTCCTTTAGGGCAACTTAAACCCCAACTACATACCTAATTAAGGACCAGTTCACACTGGAACATGCCCATTCCTGTGCAATCCCACTCACTCCATTCATTTGAATGGACTGCAAGATGCAATGGAAGGCGGGAAAAGTCGTGCTTGCACTACTTTTTCAGAATGTACTGAACCAAAGTGCAAGGTACTGCAGTAACATGTGATTTGATGATGTAAACATTGCGTTTGCAAGATGCTTTTGGAGTGCCAATAACAATTCATTTGGCACCTGCATACCTCTCGCAATGGCAGCACTTTCATCTGCGGTGTGGGAAACAAGCACAGGTCAGCCTTTCCTGGACCACATTATAGTGTGAACGAGCCCTTGGTCTGCAAAGGACATGGTGAAACAAAGTTATATCTTTAGAGTGACAAAAGGCAGGAATTGATCACCCAAAGGAGACTTTTTGTTTCTCGACAAAAGTGGAGATAGTCTTTAAGGTTCTAAATGTTAAATGTCCTTCAGAAGCAGGGGAACTAATGGCATGCCTGGCCAACTAGCATCCAGTCGCTTGAACCGAAAAGTGTATGTTACCTCAACATTTTATATTTCTCATGTATGTCTGTGTTACCATGTACTTGTATTAAACAGTATCCAGTTCTCTTTGCATTGCTACCTTTGTGTGAAATCACTAGTGATCCTGCCAGTCCCACTGCTTTTCTATATCAAACTGACCACACTAGCCATAGAAGCACATCCATCCTAGTGTGATCGTTTTGCTTCTTTGCATTCTACTTGGGAGCACATCCTGCCTGTACTCCAGTGGTCAGACTTGTGCTAACACAACACCCCTGTACAGCTAATCACTGGGAAGATCAGTGTACTGCTATTTCTCTGCCTCCTGCTGACAACTCCATTTCAGTCTCCATCACCACCTCTCCAATCCACTTATGCAGCTAAGAACAGAGGTCATGTGATCCCATATAAAAAATGTATTTAATTTTTTTTCAGATATGAACTGCATATACACAAACATTTTGCCTTGAATTTCTATTTTAAACTGAATGAGTTGTTTTACAATGTAAGGGTTCACCTTTAATACAGATTCAAGAGGAAATAAAATAATGAAACTGCTAGAGGCACAGATTTTTAAAAATCTATTTATATAGACAACTATAGGAAATGAATTCCCATTCAGCTTCCAGATGTTCACCCTTTTCTGATTCCTATCCCACATTCCAGTTCATAAGTGTAGAAATGTTTCCACAGCTATGGCTGACTTATGGGTCTAGTTTAAACCTGGATGCTTCATTAATGGAGTGTTACCAACATTTACCAAGTAAGAGTAGGCAGTCAGATATTTCATGAGGGGAGTTGAGACAAGGTAACAAGCTGGGACCTGGAAGTAGGCAGTCTTCCCTGAGGGAAGCAAAAATGTGCAATTGAGCCAAAAGCTACAGACTTTAGGTACACGGACAAGGCGTCACATCACTTCCTCACCACCTGTCAGGAGCCATTGAAGTGCGATCTGAATGTAGATCAGGCTTCAGAGTAAATCTACCCTAAGCAGCAAGCACACTGCTTGATATACCCTGCTTGAGAACCCTGGGAACTCTGCTGCTGTGTTCAGAGATAGTTCTCTGTATCATTCAACATATGGCCTTCTGCCGGCCACTGATGTTGGACTTTCAGACTGTCCATTGGCAAGACACCAACACCATTTCCATGTCTCCATGTGTGATTTTTACCATTAATAAATATAAAAATTTCATTGCACCGACTTTATGCATTCCTTTTTTAATTCTTGCAAATGTACACAAAGAAACTTGTGTTAACACAGAAAAGGTAAATATTTCTGTGATAGGGCTTTCAAGTTATATTGGTAATCCTGATGGCTTGTACAGCAGTGTCTGACCAAGTTCCGAGGGTATCCCAGGGGAGCTATGCAAGTAAATAGCTTCCAGTGTTCAACATGTGTGGAACATTGCAATCAGTGTCCATTTTAATACAGACCAAGTAGAATGTTGCTTTGTAATGTCTTTCTATAAAAAGGAACAGGTGTTGTCATTAACACAAGTGAAGCAAAGGAAAACCCACCTCATGCTATTTGAAACATGCTGAAATTCTATCTGATGAAGTATTTTCATTATTTACAGGAAAGTTGTGGATCTTCCAAAAAGGAGATTTGGTATTCCAATTGACAGGATTGGCATGAACCGTCTTGCTAATGCTAGAGGCTAAACATTTGTATTGTAAGTTTATTTCAATTACTTTGCTATTGCATATTGTACAAAAATATTCTGAAAATGTACATTACAATATTTAAATAAAAGTGACGTCATGCATTGAAAAAGAGAAGGAAATTGCATATGGATGCTGTTTTATGGCTAGAGAAGGATTGTTTTTTTTAACCACAGGAAGATTTTGTCCCCTTCATGACAAGGGCATTTTTTACTATTCAGCATTGTCCTACTCTTTTCACAAATAGAGCTTTGTTTTGGTGGTATTTAATCACTACTGTTTTTTTTTATATTTTTTGCTATATACTGTGCTCAGAATAAATGAGTGCACCCAAACAGATTTGTCAAAAAAACTTTCTTTTCCTTTCAAAATCAACATTTGGGACAGTATACTACAAAATATTCCCACAAATGTGGGCCATTGATTGCAAACAAGATTTGTTAATTTGCACACACAAAAAAAGTATTTTTCCTAACAAATTCATTCAAGACCATGTTGCAAAAATGAATACACCCCAATGAAAGTTTTAGGAGCAAAGCTAAATTTTAGACAACAAGATCAGAATGAACAAAAATTCAACTACAGGTGAGTCTAATTATTCATTAACCACTTCAAGTCCAGACACTTTTACCCCCTTCCTGTCCAGGCCAATTTTCAGCTTTCAGTTCTATCACACTTTGAATGACAATTGTGCGGTCATGCAACACTGTACCCATATGAATTTTTTAGCATTTTTTGAGACAGATAAAACTTTATTTTGGTGGTATTTATTCACCACTGGGATTTTTATTTTGCTATATAAATGACAGAAACAATTTAGTACTGTCCGTGACACTTTTTTTATTTGCACTAACATACAATTTTGAGGACAAGCTTTCGGGGAATGTCCCTTTCTTCAAGGTCCAAGCAGTACTCAAATCTACCAATATACTCAAATATACTCAAATATAATTGAGTACTGCTTGGACCTTGAAGAAGGAGATATTCCCCGAAAGCTTGTCCTCAAAATTGTATGTTAGTGCAAATAAAAAAAGTATCACGGACAGTACTCAATTGTTTCTGTCGCAAATGCACTAATATGGCTACAATCACCTCAAGCTATATAAATGAAAAAGTCCAAAAAATTTTTTTTAAAAGTGTCTTTCTTATAAAATTTTGCAAATAAATAATCTTCATAAATCTTGGCCAAAATTTATTCAGTTATCTTTTTAGTAAACAAAATAACCCAAATTAGTTTATAACCAAAAATTATAATTTTTTAAATTTTTATTTAATTTTTTTATACTATTATTTATGTTTCTTTTAACATACTGTCACCCTAGCAGTACAGTGTGCTTTGTGAATGGTCCAGCATCTTCTGGGACAAATGCCAGCTCCCAGAAGGCCATTCACAAAGCGCAGCGCATGTGCAGTGGGCACCCAGCTGTCACAGAAAGCCGCCGCGGGAAAAAGAAAGAAGGACAACTCCGCGGAAGTGGGAGCGGGTACCTGTCAAATTCAGGTACCGTTCCCCCTCCCTCCCCAAAGGTCCACAGTCTCTGGTAATCTCCTTTACTGTCTGCAGTCTCTGGTCATCCCCTGCAGTGTCTGCAGTCTCTGGTCATCTGTACTATGTCCACAGTCTCTAGTCATTCCCTGTACTGTGTCCGCAGTCTCTGGTCATTCCCTGTACTATGTCCGCAGTCTCTGGTCATCCCCTGTACTGTGTCCGCAGTCTCTGGTCATTCCCTGTACTATGTCCGCAGTCTCTGGTCATCCCCTGTACTGTGTCCACAGTCTCTGGTCATCCCCTGTACTATGTCCGCAGTCTCTAGTCATCTCCTGTACTGTGTCCACAGTCTCTGGTCATCTCCTGTACTGTGTCCGCAGTCTCTGGTCATCTCCTGTACTATGTCCGCAGTCTCTGGTCATCTCCTGTACTGTGTCCGCAGTCTGTGGTCATCTCCTGTACTGTGTCCGCAGTCTCTGGTCATCTCCTGTAGTATGTCTGCAGTCTCTGGTCATCTCCTGTACTGTGTCCGCAGTCTCTGGTCATCTCCTGTACTGTGTCCGCAGTCTCTGGTCATCCCCTGTACTGTGTCCGCAGTCTCTGGTCATTTCCTGTACTATGTCCGCAGTCTCTGGTCATTTCCTGTACTGTGTCTGCAGTCTGTGGTCATCTCCTGTACTGTGTCCGCAGTCTCTGGTCATCTCCTGTAGTATGTCTGCAGTCTCTGGTCATCTCCTGTACTATGCCCGCAGTCTCTGGTCATCTCCTGTACTGTGTCCGCAGTCTCTGGCCATCTCCTGTACTATGTCTGCAGCCTCTGGTCATCTCCTGTACTGTGTCCGCAGTCTCTGGTCATTTCCTGTACTGTGTCCGAAGTCTCTGGTCATCTCCTGTACTATGTCCGCAGCCTCTGGTCATCTCCTGTACTGTGTCCGCAGTCTCTGGTCATTTCCTGTACTGTGTCCGCAGTCTCTGGTCATCTCCTGTACTGTGTCCGCAGTCTCTGGTCATTTCCTGTGCTGTGTCCGCAGTCTCTGGTAATCTCCTATACTGTGTCCGCACTCTCTGGTCATCCCCTGTACTGTGGCCGCAGTCTCTGGTCATCTCCTGTACTATGTCCGCAGTCTCTGGTCATCTCCTGTACTATGTCCGCAGTCTCTGGTCATCTCCTGTACTGTGTCCGCAGTCTCTGGTCATCTCCTGTACTGTCCGCTGTCTCTGGTCATCCCCTGTACTGTGTCCGCAGTCTCTGGTCATCCCCTGTACTGTGTCCGCAGTCTCTGGTCATCTCCTGTACTGTGTCCGCAGTCTCTGGTCATCCCCTGTACTGTGTCTGCAGTCTCTGGTCATCTCCTGTACTGTGTCCGCAGTCTCTGGTCATCCCCTGTACTGTGTCTGCAGTCTCTGGTCATCTCCTGTACTGTGTCCGCAGTCTCTGGTCATCCCCTGTACTGTGTCTGCAGTCCATTGGTTCAGAATATTTTTTTTCTTGTTTTACTTCTCTAAAACTTAGGCGCATCTTATGGTCAGGTGAGTCTTATGGAGCGAAAAATACGGTAGATTATAATTGTTACCAACACGACCATTGGAATTGGTACCATCTGTACGAAAATAAAAAATATGCAAAATACGTGTGCACAAGGTGTCAATCAATTAAAGTGTTTGTTCACCAATGCCAGAAGTCTGCCAAGCAAAACAGGTGAGTTGGAAGCCTTGGTGCATGAACAGAACTATGACTTAATTGGTATTGCTGAATCTTGGCTTCATTCTTCACATAACCAGGCCATTAAAATTCCTGTCTATGCTCTATTTTGAAGAGACAGGGTAAATAGGAAAGGTGGTGGTGTCTGTCTCTGTGAGAAATGATCTTAGAGCAAGTGTGATAGAGGACCTAGTTGATGCAGAGTGTGATGAGGCTGAAGCATTATGGGTGGAACTGCACATGGGGATGCGTACTACAAAGGCAATCTTTGGAGTTTGTTATAGGCCACCCAGTGTTAATGAGGAGGTGGAGACTCAGCTCCTTGCACAGATCGAAAGGGCTGCAAGGGCTGGGAAAGTGATAATAATGGGGGATTTTAACTACCCAGAAATTGACTGGAATAATGGCACTGCAGGAAAAGTTAACCGTTTCCTGGCCGTCCTATAGCAGATATACTGCTACAGGGTGGCACGGGTGCATAAAATCACGTATTTATACGTGATTTTGCATTTCCAAGTAGGGGGCACGTGAGAGGCATGCGCTCGCTCTACCTGCAAAACCTTGGACAGAGGGGTGGCGGTGGACGTGGTATACTTGGATTTTGCAAAAGCGTTTGACACAGTTCACCACACACGGCTAATGTGTAAGGTAATGTCTACAGGCTTGGAAAAATCAGTATGTAAAAGCATAGAAAAGTGTCTAAAAGATAGTATTCAGAGAGTAGTGGTTAATGATTCATACTCTGAATGGTCTAGGGTTGTTAGTGGTGTACCGTCAGGTTCAGTGTTGGGACCCTTACTTTTTAATATATTTATAAACGATATAGGGTCTGGGATTAATAATACCATTTCAGTCTTTCGCAGATGACACTAAGCTGTGCAGTGGAATAATGTCCTTATAGGATGTCTCCAATTTACAAGTCCACCTCAATGCTCTGTGTAATTGGGCAACTATATGGCAAATGAGGTTTAATGTTGATAAATGTAAGGTTATGCACTTTGGGGCTAAGAATATGCATACATCATACATACTGGGGGGGGGAGTACAACTGGGGGAATCAATGATGGAGAAGGATCTGGGGGTTCTGGTAGATCACAAGCTTCATAATGGCATGCAATGCCAAGCTGCAGTTTCTAAAGTGAGCAAAAACCTCTCTTGAATTAAAAGAGGTATAGACTCCAGAGAGAGAGATATCATATTACCCCTGTACAAATCATTAGTAAGACCTCATCTGGAATATGCAGCTCAGTTTTGGGCATCAATTCAGAAAAATAATATTGGGGAACTGGAGAAAGTACAGAGAAGGGCAACCAAACTGATAAGAGGCATGGAGGAGCTCAGCTATGAGGAAAGATTAGAGGAACTGAATTTATTCTCTCTTGAGAAGGGGAGATTAAGGGGGACTGTGATCAACATGTATAAATACATCAGTGGTTCATATAGTGAACTCGGTGTACTGTAGAGTTATCTCCAAATACGGAAAGTAAGAGTACGAGCTGTGAAAATGTGAAATAGACTCCCTCAAGAGTTGGTTCTGGCCAGCTCAGTGGATTGCTTTAAAAAAGGCCTGGATTCTGTCCTAGATACACAGAATATACAGTAATTGGATACTAACATTTATAGGTAAAGTTGATCCAGGGATTATCCGATTGCCTCTCGGGGGATCAAGTAGGAATTTTTCCCCAGCAAGAGAAAATTGGATCATGCTTTGCTGGGTTTTTGGACTTCCTCTGGATCAACTGTGGGTATAGGATTATAACTGGAACTGGAACTGGATGGACTTTTGTCTTTTTTCAGCCAGACTAACTATGTAACATTTCTTTGATACAAATAACCCAAATCAGTGTACATTATTTAGTCTGTGTAAAAGTTACAGAGTATGCAAATTATGGTATATTATGTATATTTCAAAATTGATCAATCCTGATGTACTGACAGCATGTCTCATTTCTTGAGGCCCTAAAATGCCAGGACAGTGTAAATACCCCCAAAATTACCCTTTTCTGGAAAGTAGACTTGGTGAGTTTTTTGAAATTGTAATTTTTTTGGAACATTAAGAAATTAAATAACTTTTTACATACTGTCACCAGTACAGTACAGTGTCATCAAATAACTGGTGTAGCGATGATCAGAGATACTGAATGCTGACACTATTTAAAAATAAATAAATAAATTGTATTCTATTTTTAAGCTTTTTTTTGTCTTTTTTTTAACACTTTCTCTTTTTTTTGCATACTGTTATCACAGTAGTTCAGATTCACTATAATGTCACTGTACTACTCTGGGGGAGGGAGTGATTAGGGATTATTTTTTTTTACGCTGTTATTGCTTATAATAGTGATGATCACTGTTGTATGCGATAGTTAACTGTCATGAATGGCTTTCCATTCATAACAGCTTGCTTACTGTTGACATGCTGTGCTTGGCTATGGCTAATCACATGCTACAGGGTGCCAGGTACCATGAGATAGCTGTGGGCCAATCACAGCTTCACATCAGTAAGCAAGCAGTCACAAATGGAAGTCATTCATTACTGTATTGTTTACATTGTAATCATGTGATCCAGTACCAGATACCAGTACGTGTCTGCACCTGTAGCTGCCACCCACTCGCATTAAAAGTACTGTGGGTGGGTGATAAATGGTTAAAACTATAGTTGTCCATAGTAAAAAGATCCTGAAAAATGATGCTTCAGATATTGTTCCACTGAACCACTTCCTGGGTTGCATTCATAAAATAAACCAGCCTTTTAAGTGGTAGGTACAAAGCCAGGGAACTTGAGGGAAATGTGCTTTCTTTATATTCCATTAAGGGACATAGGAATTTGTAAACCATCAGGTTATACTCCCACCTACAGGCATTTGGGACACGTGCAAAAAAAAAAAAAAGCCAGCCCTAGTATATTTTAAATTTTTTGCTAGTGTACTAGGAGGTCGGGTACTTTTTCCTCAGCAAAACTGAGAAAGAGTCTAACTATATTTTTGGTAGCCTTTTTATTTTTCTGTTTACATGTTATTTTTTTCCCATAAGTCAAGATACTCGGCACACTGTAGACATTTTTTTCTTTGGTGAATTCAATCAAGACTTCATAAGCTGCTGCTTAAACTAGTTTCTACACAGCAGCTATCTGGAGGAGCATATCCTCAACAATAGCTTAGAAGTCTGTACCCAGACTCCATTGTGCTGGAAGATTTTTAGGCTAGCCTGGAATGTAACCATGAGGCACTGCATTGTGGCACTTTCCAGACCTTTGTGTTAGTTAGGAACAGAGAGCTCTTTAGGTTTTGAGCCATGGCACAGCTTCTGGTGTACCCTAATCTTTGAAGATGTACATAGTTTGGGCTGAAGAACCAGGAGCCACCTAACATTCATTGTTCTGCACCATTTTAAAGTTTTTGCCGCCACCACCAGTGTTAACGTTGTAATGGCTAAGGCTGAGCGAACTGAGTGCTGACATCATTTGCAGGGTGGAGTATTGTATGCACATGCTCCACACTCTTTCTCCTGCCAGTCAGCCTAGAGGAAGCACCATCCCACTGCTGTTTTTGCTTGTGAGGCAGCTCATGGATCATTTAGCCGCTGTTCTCGTTTCCCTGTCTGCACAGTAATTTGATCAGCTCCAAACGCTTGTGACCTTCATCAGCACAAGATGCGTTTGTGAGGATGCTAGGCCTGGTGTCAATTTACGCTTGGTAGTTTTTTGCTACCCATTTGCAACACGTCTTTTTAGAGACACACAGAGGGCATTCCTGCTGTAACAGGTGTGTTAATCTCTCATCCTTAGAATGAATCTATGCCTATAATCTAGATCCTGGGACCGCTATTATTATAGGGTTGTACCCATCAGAGTCTTTTATAGTTGTGCTGGGTAAGGCACTTTACAAGGCCCATTATGTCCACTTCAGACATTTTGCTGGTTTGTGCACAAGAAATAGACCAATTTGTTCACAGAGCCTCTAGGTGCACTACAATCCCATCTACGGCAGAATTGACACTGGGCCTCATATTCATTTAATAAGTTTTCCTGAGAGCCCTATTATCATCCCTGATTCAGATTCAGAGTCCTCAGGAGGATCAGCCTGCTGTTCTAGGCCTGGGGTCTTTCACAGTTTCTATGTCTGCAAAAGATCTTCCCAATAAAATTGGCATTTAACAAGGCTTGCAAACAACATATAAAATCATGAACCCCTCCTGACAATTTTTCCAGAGAGGCTTCAAGGCAATGTATTTCTAAGTGGTCTCTGTCCACTGTAGACACTCTTAACAAGCATAAAACAGGTTGATGGTGCTCTTACCCTCCATCTTCTATTGGTGATAACTTTGATTTGTAAAACTATGTCCCTATGGATCAAATCACCATTGACCCCTCCATCACAAGGACAAACTCTCATGCACTGGAGTTTTTGGTACAATTTTCTGGAGCCCTACTGTTCAGCTGTGATGACCTCATGCAAGCATCTAAGCTTGTGTCTCACATGGAGGTGATATCTACTCACAGGCCTCATAGAATTCTTTAGTTATATGCCCGGGACACCAAAGATATATCCAAGGAATATCTCATTCACTTCACCTTTAAGGGAAAGCATCTATTTGGACCTGAACTTCATAATGTTATTACTGATGCTGCTGTTGGTCAGACTGTGCACCTACCTCATTAGAGAAGATCTGTGGGAGGAAACCCCATCTTTCATCTTCTGTTAGAATAGTACCTCATAGGCTGCCAGAGTCTGCCTCCCACTCACGCCACAGAGCTCACAGCCAGAAGTTCTTTAAATCATCTGCTTAGCCTTTTGCATGTAGCTTCTGCTCTAGACCTTTAAATCAGGCACCTCCCTCCCTGCCCTTCTTCAGCCTGCTGGTATTACTGCACCTCATTGTGCAACTTCCTGGGTTTGTTTGGTTCCCCACACCCAGGGATCTCTGATTCCTACTCTGAGAATTGTTTTCTGCTCAAACTGGCACTTTTTCCATGGAAGATTGCACCACTCATGGTGCTTGATCCTTCTCAGCCCTATCGCTCATGAAGGACCTTTTGACCTAAAATGTCAACAAGGATCAGTTCCTACTGCTCCCTTCCTAGTGAGGACATGACTCTTCGGTGTCCTTCAGCAGTTCTGGACCCTTTTCACAGCACTGAACCTTATGTCTACCCTAGTGTCTTTTTCTTGCATTCCTATTGTGGAGCACTCAGTAGACCTTCCCTGAAGGGAGTCGGTTTACTTATATTTTTGCAGTTCATGCAAAGTCGAAAATCCTATAGTCTAAAATCCTTGTCTAATTGCAAATTAACAATTATATAGCGCTAGTAATCTTGGCTCATCTTCAGGTGTGAGTTCCTGTGGACCTTTGACCTTTTCTTGGTTTGTAGCAGATTGTTTTCCTGTTCACCCCTTTAAGCTTTGTTGGATTGTTGGGTAATTATCTTTAAACATTACCCGCTACCACCACCCTGTTTCATGCAGTCTGTCAGTCCTTTGTAGTCACACCCTTTTGAGTTAGGTAGTGTGGAATTTGGCCATGACACCAAGCTGGTCACTACAGACCAAGAAGTCCTGAACACTATTTGCCAGACTCTGGTCAGGGCGAGGATCAAGGCCGGATCTAGCCTATCTAGTCTGGGGGTGCAGTAAAAAAAAGTCCGGGGGCATAATGCCAACACTGTTTGTTTGTCACTGGGAGCCTGCCACACAGTGTCACGACCTTGGAAACACTAGTATGTATTAGGCTGACACAGAACCTGTCCTCCTTATATCAGATGTCCCTATCAGATTCCCCCTTTAAATCAGGAGTCCTCATCAGAGTCCCCCTTTAAATTGTACTCCCATCAGCTTGCCCCCTTACATCAAGTGTCCCCATCAGAGTGCCTTCATCAGAGTTCCCGTTACATCAACTGCCCCCAACAGAGTGCCACCTTACATCAGGGTCCCTTTCAGAGTGTACCCTTACATCAGGTGTCCCCATCAAAGTGTCCCCTTACATGAGGTTTCCCCATCAGAGTGCCCCTTTACATGAGGTTTCCCCATCAGAGTGCCCCTTTACATCAGGTGTCCCCATCAGAGTGCCACCTTACATCAGGTGTTCCATCAGAGTGCAGCCTTACATCAATTGTCCCCAACAGAGTTCCCCCTTACATATGATAATTTCCATCAGAGTGCCCCCTTACATCAGGTGTCCCCATCAGAGTGCCCCCCTACATGGATTGTCCCCATTAGTGTGCCTCCTTACATCAACTGCTTTAGACTGGCTCATGGATTAGTGAATGCGCTTTCAGAGACCTAAGGGGGCACAGCTAAAATCTGGGTGGGCAAAACCCACCCCAGCACTCCCCTAGATCTGGCCCTGGTGAAGATGATCCCTTCCTCCCTACCCTGGGAGGACTTCCCAAACAGTGGCAGGCTCTTGTTCACTCTCTATTTTGGCTCTCTAGAATAGATAGCTCCTGAGTCCTTGAGGAGGCCCTTTTGCTTTTGATCTGACCTCCACTGAATTTAATTTGGAGCACACCCCCTGCAACAGACCAGGTGACCTACTCCCTACACCGGATGGTGTTGAATGTGTCATTTGTAACCCCTCTCTCTTACCTGAAGTTAAGATATTGTCTTTCAAATCCCCTCTTCTAATGGGACCCAGTTTGGACAATGATGCCTCTGCATATGATTGCCCACTCTTTCTTCCTTGCAAGGACATATCTATTACTGAAAGGTCCTGTACTCCCCTGGACAGTCAGCAGGCAGAAAACACTCCTACCCTGTTGCAGATTTCCCTTAAGTGGGATATTGCAATTCTAGAAGTCTTCATGGGACCTGATTACTGGAAAATAGATCCTCTTCTGTGACCAAACTGTGATCTTCTTACATTTATTCCTATTGTTCATAATTGTGACTATTACTAGTATAAACCCAAAGACCAAAAGTGCACCTACTATCTCTCTATAAGTTTTCAAGATCAAATTACTCCTAGACAATAATCAGGTCCCTAGTTGCATTTACTTACCTAATTTTGGCAGCCAGTTCACTTCGCCAGAGGCCAGCTCCCAATTAAGGATACCAATAGGTACTATCTGTTCTCTAAATGTGCATGGCTCCCACCAGGTAGCACCCAACATGTTTTTAAGGATAATGGACCTTCTTCTTTAGGGCTGAATCTGAATATTCCTAATGCTAGCACTAGGATTCCTACCCTCACTCCTTGGTGGATGATTCTGTTTTTTTTACAAGGGTAAGCAGGACAGTTCCTATATTCATTAATTGGGACATGGTTGGACAGCTTTGTAGTGTGGCTAAAGTACACCTTTGTCTTACTGGCTCTTGTACTGCTTGCTTGAAAAACTGAAACATGATGCTTGGAAGTGGGGCTATATGGAGACTTAATGTATTTGTTTTCCGGTGTCCCAGCCGCCTGTAATCACCAGTATAACCTGACTGTTCAAGAATTCCTAACATCCCTCTGTCCCTCAGAGGACATCATCTGCTGCATAACAATGTTCAGCATCAAGTACCGGTAGTTGAATTTTTCAGATGTAGAAATTCACTTACATGAAGCAAAAGACAGTGACCATTTTCGTTGTTCTTATAAATTTAAAACAAAAAAACTGAAAAATTAAGTCCTCTCTATTTACAGTTGTGGCCAAAATTATTCAACCCCCACTGAAATTGAGTGTTTTGGCCAGTTTGACATTGCTTTTGATCATTCAGTCATCTTGCTTACATTTACATTAAAGAGGCACTTGTAGGTCAGACAAATATAACATAACAGTTATAATGAAATAACCACAAATGTCTTTTCTGTGCTCACAGCATTATCAGTTTTATTCAACCCCCAAGTGACATTCAATCTTAGTACTTAGTACAGCATCCTTTTACAGTTATAACAGCTTTTAAACGTGAAGCATAGCTTGACACAAGTGTCTTGCAGCGATCTACGGGTATCTTCGCCCATTCTTCATGGGCAAAGGCCTCCAGTTCAGTCACATTCTTAGGCTTGCGCACTGCAACTGCTTTCTTTAAGTCCCACCAGAGGTTCTCAATCGGATTTAAGTCTGGTGACTGCGATGGCCACTCCAAAATGTTCCAGCCTTTCCTCTGCAACCATGCTCTAGTGGACTTGGAGGTATGCTTGGGATCATTGTCCTGTTGAAAGGTCCAACGTCTCCCAAGCCTCAGGTGTGTGACGGACTGCATCACGTTTCCATCCAATATCTCCTGGTACTGAAGAGAATTCATGGTACCTTGCACACGCTGAAGCTTCCCTGTACCTGCAGAAGCAAAACAGCCCCAAAGCATGATTGACCCTCCACCATGTTCACAGTAGGCAAGGTGTTCTTTTCATCATAGGCCTTGTTCTTCCTCCTCCAAACATAGCGTTGATCCATGGGCCCAAACAGTTCTAATTTTGTTTCATCAGTCCACAGAACACTATCCCACAACTTTTGTGGTTTGTCCACATGGCTTTTGGCATACTGCAGTCGACTCTTCTTATTCTTTGGAGACAGCAAGGGGGTACGCCTGGGAGTTCTGGCACGGAGGCCTTCATTACGCAGTGTGCGTCTTATTGTCTGGGCTGAAACTTCTGTACCCACATCTGACAAATCTTTTCTCAGTTCCTCAGCAGTCACACGGGGACTTCTCTCCACTCTACGCTTCAGGTAGCGCACAGCAGTCGAAGTCAGCATCTTCTTTCTGCCACGACCAGGTAGCGTTTTCAACAGTGCCCTTTGCCTTGAATTTGCGAATGATGCTTCCTAAGGTGTCTCTTGGTATGTTTAACATCTTTGCAATCTTCTTATAGCCATTGCCCTTCCTGTGAAGAGAAATCACCTCTTCTCTTGTCTTCCTGGACCATTCTCTTGCCTTCACCATGTTTGTAACCACACCAGTAAATGTCTAGAAGGAGCTGAGTATCACAGTCATTTTAAAGCTGCCTAATTGGTGCTTATTATGCTTGATTGCTGCTCGGTGACATCCACAGGTGTTTTCAATACCTGATGGAAAGCACCTGTATGAACCTCTGTTCTTCAGAGTGGTAGTCTTTAAGGGGTTGAAAAATTGTGGCAATGAAGAAACCACATAAGAACCATTTACTACTGTATTACATAAACAATTGATGTCATTTTAGTTGCATTTGGGTAGTTACAACGTCCTTGTAGGATTTGATTCTGAATACAATTCCAAATGTACACTATAGTCCCTAAACCCCTTTACAGCATTGGGGGTTGAATAATTTTGGCCACAACTGTACATTTGGGATGAATCCTGAATATCATTTCGGCTCCCATACCCCTTTGTCTTATTGGTCTTGTACTGCTTGCTCACAAAACTGAAAAATGGTGCTTGGGCGTAGGGTATACAGGGGCTGGCTTATCATATTTGTCCTAACCTCCTGTATCCTGTAAGTGGCTATATAACCCAAATGTTTAAGAATTGCTAAAATTTCTGAATCTCTCAATGGACTTCAAGAAACGGTCTATCTGCTGCATAACAATGTTCAGCTTCAGCATTAAATAGCCAAATCTTTCAGATTTAGAAAATCAGAAAGATGAGACAAAAACAGTAATCATGAATTTGTTTATATAAACCTACTACAAAAGACTTGAAATAATGATGCTAGAAGGCCTTTCTAATTATAATTGGGACTGGGAAATGAATGATGGGATGGCATATTTGCATACACCCCGGTCCCCGCATCATAACATATTAGAATTGATTTACTAAAGGCAAATAAATTGTGCAACTTACAGTTGGTCCAGAGCTTAGTAAATTAGGTAAAGCTTCACTATTAAAGAATACCCAATCACTTGCAAGGAATACAAAACAGAGTTTTTACTTGCACATGATTGAATGATGGAATCAGCAAAGCTTCTGATCATTTCAGAGCTTCCCCTCAGATCTAACGCAACCACACTTGAAGTACGCAGTATATTTGCCTATAGTAAATCAACTCCATAATGTCATCTCCAGACAGAACTGTTACTTATTTAGTATATGCTAATATAGCTGAAAGTAAATATTTTATTGTTTGCAAAAAATATATATCTTTTTGCACTATGTGACTTGACTCATTTGAAGTCTGCCAGTTAGAAGACTTTTTTTACTTTACTTTAGTCATTCATATGTATAGCAGATTCACCACAAGAGTGCTAGCTGCAAACAATTCTAAGAATCGTATCTCTACCCACAACGTTTGTAAAAAATCATTCTTGACTTTGGGTTAACGAATGATGGAAAGAGTAAACCATTGAAAAAATATAAAGTTTTATCCTGAGAATCAGATGATGTATATTGTACATGTATTACATTAAGTTGTGGAAATTTAAGTAAACCTGTGGAAACGTGTAATTCAACTGAGAGTTGTGTAAATGCATAAGCAGAGGTTACCTTCAGTTAAAACTGATAGATCAAAAGATGATGACAGCTAAAATTGAATGCATATCTCAACTTAACTATAAATGTCTGATTGAGCACTGTTCTCTTACACCTTCTGTAACTCAAAATTGGATGCCAATATACAGGCTTTGGAGATGGAAGGGAGCAGAGCTAAAGCTCAAGAAAAATGACAGTTTCATATTATGAGGCTGATTTGCTGAAGAAGTTGAAAATCTTCACATAATACATTTTTTTAATATTTACTCCTACTATCCAGTCATGTGAAAAACAAGTTCCTGTTATTTATTTAATCTGCAGATAATTGGATAATTAATGTGAATATTCACACAATTTATTGTGTGAAGACACTCAACTCCTTAAGTCAACGGGCTTTTGTTCTCTTTAAACAGGTTTTCCATTCACATACATATTCATAGTTGCCAACAGTCCCTAAATGCCCAGGACATTCTCACACAAACGCACACCTCCATTCTGTCATCTCCACCCTGCACACACACAAACCTCCATCATGTTATCTCCATCCTACACACACCTCCATCCTACACACACACACACACATCCATCCTGTCATCTCCATACTACACACTCACCTCCATCCTGTTATCTCCATCCTGCACACACAAACAGTCACCTCCATCCTTTTATATCCATTATGCACACACACCTCCATTCTGTCATCTCCATCCTGTACACACACACACAGTCATCTCCATCCTGCACAAACACACAGTCATCTCCATCCTCCTTTGTT